CTTCCAGCCTGAGCTTCTATGGATTCGTTCAAGGGACTCCGATGATCAACATCGTTGAAAGTCACCTTTCTCGTACGTTTCAAATCTATATCAGAAACGAAAGAAACCTCAATAAACACAAACATAGACACTCACGAAGCACGAAATCTAGTTTTAGAATACCTGAATGTGCTCGAGAGCTCGATGGATCAGGGAATTGCAGATCGGTCTTCTTTAGGGTTTCGATCGCTTTCGTTCGTTGATTTCTTCTTCTCATCACGGATTATATGAATTTATGATAAAACGCTGCTAATTTCACCAAGACGATGAATGATGAAGGAGAGATTTCACGCTTCCATGGCGATTTCGTTAACAATTTTGAAATTGAAGAAGAAGAGAGAAATGAAAATTTTTGGCGGCAAGGCTAAACCTAATTTACAGATGTTGTTCTCTCGAATAAAATAATGTTTTTCTTAAAATAATTAATTTTTTCATTTTAAGGTTGCCATGTCATCACATTATCTTGAACAACCGAGATTTGATCACACGTGTCGTATCACAAGTGGGTGAAAACGATTCGTTTTAACCCCAAAACATCTCAAAGCTTTTGTCTTCATTTTTCTTTTTTTTTTCCTATCACACAGAAAAAATCCAGAACTCAAATCACACACAGATGGCGATGACATCAGCAGCTACGGGATTTGTTATGACGGCAAATGTCACGGCGACTGTAGGCGGCGGTTCTCCGGCGTCTTCGAAGATCGCCGCCGTGTCTTTCTTGCCGATGAGAAGCTTCGGTTCGAGGCTAGTGGTCAGAGCGGCGGATGATGCTTCTCCGGAAACTACCTCGTCGGAGGGTTCTTCGACCACCGCCGCTGCTCCGGCAGAAGCTCCGGCCGCGAAGCCTAAACCTCCTCCGATTGGCCCCAAGAGAGGATCTAAGGTTACCTCTCTTCTTTAGCTCATATATGTACATATCAATCGGTGCATGGTTATGCATCATCGTATATGTTTTCTTCTTAGAAAATTCGAGTTTGGATAGATGCTAGACTAATAGTTGATCTGCAATAAGTTTTTGGTGTATTTAGAATATTTTCAGAGTTATGGGGTTAATGTGAGACTTCCATGTAATTTTTGGAACCGTAGATCAAGATTCAAAGGAAAGAGTCTTACTGGTACAAGACAATTCGTCTTTAGAAAATGTGATTAGAGAAATGTGGGCCAATATTTGAGCTAATATATGCAACAAGTTCTTCGTCTATTGGAATAGTTTTGGGGCTAATGTGAAACTTCTATGAACTTTTGGGTCTTACAGGTTAAGATTCTACGGAAAGAATCATACTGGTACAAGAACGTTGGATCAGTCGTGGCCGTTGATCAGGTAATAAAATGCATCTACTTTCCGAAGTTAACGATCTAACGGTTAGATTTCGTTTAATCTTATAATCCGGTTTAAATGTACAGGACCCAAAGACCCGATATCCGGTTGTGGTCCGGTTCTCGAAGGTTAATTACGCGAATATATCGACCAACAACTACGCACTGGACGAGATCGAAGAAGTCAAATGAGAGACTTGGTTTATTTGTAAACCGGTTCGTTTGTTTGTAATCTTGAACCAAACCGTATGTACCAACAATTCATCCTCATTATATTTTCAATACATTTAGCGACCCCGAAATTGATTGCAAATTCCAATTATTGACTCGACCAAACTCAGCAACTCCGGTTTAGTAACAAAAACCGGTCTGAGTCTTTATTTACTTACATGGAAGCAAACTCAATAGATTCTTATAAAATCTCTATGTAGTAGATAGAAAAACACCAAATCATCTTGACTTCAATAAGTTATTCAGAAGTTCTGATTACACAAGCAACAAGAAAACATGAAAAAATCTCCAACCAATTTCATCTCTCAAGTCTGACCGGTTTTTCCGTTTGCTTTAGCTATCATTGGCTCTAGCTCTCCTTTATTGTACAGCTCCAATGTATCTATTTAACAATAGAGATATGGAGATCAAGTTATCAGAAAAATCACAAGACATTGAGCAAGAACTTGGTGCCAATGCACACACAGGATCTCGTTAACATTCTGAGATCAAAAACCTCGGTGTTGACATAAGAGAGGAAGTGAGAGTGTACCTGAGCAGCCACCAATGTGCTTGCCTCCTGGTCATGAACAAAAATGTGATAAAGAATTAGATTTTGTCAAGTGATAGTCATCGTAAAAACAGCAACTAAGATTCCGTGTTTGATAGTGTTCTGCTTTCAGGCATATAATGAAGAGAAGTTATCAGAGTGTAGTAAGTAAATGATGCAAATGATGAAACAACTAACCGATGAAAACATTGGGAACAGTGTATTGTCCTGTAAGTTTCTCCAACACGTTCTGCAGCTGCGAACCCTCCGAACCTGGAAATATCAAAAAAAAAAACACCAAAGCATTCGTTACAGCAACTCAAAATGTTTCAGACCAATACCACGAGGCAGAGTGGTATAGCCATAAACCTAAACAAGACAACAAAGAACAAATGTTTTTGGATAGTGACGAAATCTTGACAAGGCATAAGATTACTAAGAAGATAACAAAGGGATAATAGTTTACAAGAAACAGAAGCATACTACTGTCTAAGATCCAAAGGCAGGTAAGAAAAGTTTAAGCCATTAGAAATCCCCAAACTGTTGATAGCTAATTCTTCATTAACAAGCCAAAATTTTGTAAAAGCTATCTCAGGCCATTACAAACCCCTCTAAGCATTAATCCTACATCACAATCTTAAAGTTTTGAAACTCAAAGTTCTAAAGTTTGTATTCCATAAACATACAAACCAAACAAACCAATGGGAAGACGAACAAGAATCATATCTACTTGGAAACAAGTATTAACTAGATCAAGTCTAAATGCTGAAACAATAAGCACTTGTAATAAGCTTCCTAATAAAAACAATATCACACATAATCAAACCAGTTTTAGCAAACTAATCAGGACCCATAATCAAGTGTAGAATAATGTAAAGTAAGCTTACCAAGCTCATCCAATTCAATAACCAGTGGCTCAACTTCAAGTCTCTTGAACACTGTCTTCACTTGGGACGAGTATCTTCAACACACACAAAAAAAAAAAACCCATTTCAAAATGTAATCAAAAGAATCATAAATCAATACGGAAAAGACAAAACCCATCAAAACACTAAGTCATATAACCAATCAATTCTTTCAATTGAACAAAAAGCATTGGTGATTTAGAGAGAAGAGTGAACCTACGAGCAATAGGTTTTGGAGTAAACAACGATAGAGTTTTCCGCTACCGTCGTTTTAACGGTCTCTTCCATTGAAGAAGAAGACGATGACATGGCCCTAACAGAAGAAGAAGAAGAACCGCGTGGTGGCCACGACACGAGTCGGAGAGGTGTCGGCTTTAGACATGTCCTCAAGGGTAATACGAAGGAGTTTCTGATTCCGGTTAACATGGATAACGAGAGTGGCCGATTCGAAAATAGCGTCTTCGATGTGAGGTTGGGTGATGCGGCTAACATGGCGATTTCTTCCTTCTGGGTTTATTATTGGATTTGTCCTCTTTCTTTTCTGTTATCGCTGAAAATAATTCCGAATAATTAATTTGGGGTCAGAATATGAAAAACAAGAATTTGGGGTCTATCTATATGAAGAGGTTAAAGTAGAGGGGCTGAAAAAAAGAAAGAAAGGGAAAGTTGCGATTACAAAATGCCCTAATTAAGCGTCTCCTTTTCGGACTGTAACTAACTCTAGTGTTGATATAG